ACCGATATTGCCGATATTGATAGAGTGAGAAATGCATTTCAACTTTTAATTATTTATATAGCACATTTAATTGCAACGTTGTTGCCCAAAGTGCTTCACAGTTACATTAAACCATATATTTATAAAAACATTAGCAGGTGTACAAAGCCCTGTCTATGACATCACTTGCTGCTGCAGCCTGACACAGGTCAGAGTATTTTGGCGGTTGCCATCTTCAAACGGTCGTATTTTAAAAATTATAAATCCTACAATGAAGAGCTTTATATTGTGAGAATCACAAGACCCAGACCTACATTTGGATGCATAGTATGTCGCTGAAATATTAAAAATTAAGGCGCAGTCACAGTTTAGAAATTGCCCTTCAAGTTTGAGCTGGCTAGAGTGGAGTTTTAATGAATTTCAATGGACGGCGTGAGTTGCAAACAAATGGTCATATTGTGATAACTATCAGGACTATGGCTTAGCCGTGGACATTTTTAGTGGCAGCAGGGATAGCTGAACATTTTGATATAAGATTTGTGTAGGTGGGCCTGAAAATAAGGGAGTGGTGGCAGTTTAGAAATCATGTCCTGATTTTCCAGCTTTTGCCAGCTCCCACTCTAGCTTTGCCATTCATTCCTATGGGACAAATTTCGCCACAAGAACGGCGATATTCCGTGAACCATTCGGCGAAACGTTCCACAAAGTAATAGCAATCCGATCGGGAACAATCTGCACGTTTTGGTAAATTTTTGTCTATGTAGTGTAAAAACTGTGGGAGGAGTTAGGGTGGCAAATTTTGCTATAATAAGAATAAGAATAACGAGAAAAGCTACAATTTCTGGGGAAATTGTGTGAAGTGTTCTTGCCTCCACCAGTAGCTTCAACTGGAGTGGGCGACGTAACTGTTATCATTTATATAACACATTTAATTGCAACGTTGTTGCACAGTTACATTAAACCATACATTTATAAAACATTAGCAGGTGTTCAAAAGGCCCTGTCTATGACATCACTTGCTGCTGCAGCCTGGCACAGGTCAGAGTATTTTGGCGGTTGCCATCTTCAAACGGTCGTATTCTAAAACCTATAAATCCTACAGCGAAGAGCTTTGTATTGTGAGAATCACAAGACCCAGACCTACATTTTGATGCATAGTATGTCTCTGAAGTATTAGAAATGAAGGCACAGTCGCAGTTTATAAATTGCACTTCAAATTTGAGCTTTGTAGAGTGATGTTTCAATGAATGTCAATGGACGGTGTTAGTTGCAAACAAATGATTATATTGTGAAAACTATCAGGACTATGGCTTAGCCGTTGACATTTTTAGTGGCAGCAGGGATAGCTGAACGTTTTGATATAAGATTTGTGTAGGTGGGCCTGAAAATAAGGGAGTGGTGGCAGTTTAGAAATCATGTCCTGATTTTTCAGCTTTTGCCAGCTCCCACTCTGGCTTTGCCATTCATTCCTATGGGACAAATTGCGCCACAAGAACGACGATATTCCGTGAACCATTCGGCGAAACGTTCCACAAAGTAATAGCAATCCGATCGGGAACAATCTGCACGTTTTGGTAAATTTTTGTCTATGTAGTGTAAAAATTGTGGGAGGAGTTAGGGTGGCAAATTTTGCTATAATAATAATAATAACTAGAAAAGTTACAATTTCTGGGGAAATTGTGTGAAGTGTTCTTGCCTCCACCAGTAGTCTACAACTGGAGTGGGCGGAGTAACTGTTATCATTTATATAGCACATTTAATTGCAACGTTGTTGCACAGTTACATGAAACCATACATTTATAAAAACATTAGCAGGTGTTCAAAAGGCCCTGTCTATGACATCACTTGCTGCTGCAGCCTGGCACAGGTCAGAGTATTTTGGCGGTTGCCATCTTCAAACGGTCGTATTTTAAAAACTATAAATCCTACAGCGAAGAGCTTTATATTGTGAGAATCACAAGACCCAGACCTACATTAGGTGGGCCTGAAAATGAGGGAGTGGTGGCAGTTTAGAAATCATGTCCTGATTTTTCAGCTTTTGCCAGCTCCCACTCTAGTTTTGAACATTTTGCCATTCATTCCCATGGGACCAATTTTGCCACAAGAACGATGATATTCCGTGAACCATTCGGCGAAACGTTCCACAAAGTAATAGCAATCCGATCGGGAACAATCCGCACGTTTCGGTATATTACGGTCTATGTAGTGTAAAAACTGTGGGAGGAGTTAGGGTGGCAAATTTGGCTATAATAAGAATAATAACATATATGTGAGATAACATTAAGTGGTCTTGCTATGCAAGAACACTTAATAATGGATCTCCCCCACTGAGTTACAATCCTTGTCCTAAGTTCTAAACAACAAAGTCAGCTCTAGGAGCCGCCATTACTCCGGAGACCGCTGGCAAGGAAGAGTCTCTACTGTTTAGCACTCTGGCGGAGAGCTCTAAGCATTAGAGACACTTGTAAAGGCGACCACTTCCTGCAGCCCAGCGGGTCCCCGGACCCCACCGTCCGTTGTTCTGTATCCCAGAGATAGACAGACAGACAGACAGACAGCCGCCTCACTCTCCCCCCCCCCCTTGCGGGAGTGACGTCACCGCAGCCCAGGGCTTTTCCGGTAAGAGGAGGCCTCGCGCAGGTCCAGCAGTGGCGTCACTTCCGGTGTTGGGCAGTGTTATTGTTATGCTGTGCTGCCTGTGCGGCCTGCTTACTGAGGGTTATTGATAAAGTTATGTGCAGGAATAACGGGGAAAGCGCAGGCCCAGAGCTGTGTGAGCAGGAATAGCGGAGAGAATACAGGTACAGGGCTGTGTGTGCAGGAATAGCCGGGGGGTACAGGGCTGTGTGTGCAGGAATAAGGGCTGTGTGTGCAGGAATAGCCGGGGGTACAGGGCTGTGTGTGCAGGAATAGCCGGGGGTACAGGGCTGTGTGTGTGCAGGAATAGCGGGGGTGGGGCTGTGTGTGCAGGAATAGCTGGGGGTACAGGGCTGTGTGTGCAGGAATAGCCGGGGGTACAGGCTGTGTGTGCAGAATAGCCGGGTACAGGGCTGTGTGTGCAGGAATAGCCGGGGGTACAGGGGGCTGTGTGTGCAGGAATAGCCGGGGTACAGGGCTGTGTGTGCAAGGAATACGGTGGGTACAGGGCTGTGTGTGCAGGAATAGCGGAGAGAATATAGGTACAGGGCTGTGTGAGCAGGAATAGCCGGGGGGGTACAGGGCTGTGTATGCAGGAATAGCCGGGGGGTACGGGGCGGCGTGTGCAGCAATAGCCGGGTGGTACGGGGCGACGTGTGCAGCAATAGCAGGGTGGTACGGGGCGACGTGTGCAGCAATAGCAGGGTGGTACGGGGCGACGTGTGCAGCAATAGCAGGGTGGTACGGGGCGACGTGTGCAGGGATAGCAGGGGAGGTACCTCTCTGTGTGTGCAGGAAAAGATGAATACACAGGGCTGTGTGTGTTGTAGTAGTATAGAAAGTGCAAGAGGTGGGTTGCGTGCGCTGGAAGAATTGTCGATACAGCAGAATGTGACCAAGACCGGGGGTGCAGGAATAGCTGAATGTGTGTATGCCCTAGACTTGGGTGTGCAGGAGTAACAAAATGTGTGCATGGCTTGTGCTGGGCGAACAAGAAAAGCAGAAGGTGTACAGTACCTGTTCTGGGTGTGCAGGAATAGTAGAAGATGGGCAATTTTGGGTATGCAGTGTGACAAGGGCTTTGACAGCCCTATTTCCTAAAATCACTATTGCAAGTGTAGTGACTGTATAATGTCTGGAAATATTAGCTTGTCAAGCTTTATGGAAGTGAAATAAGTTTTACTTGGTGTGATGCTGATAAATACATCTGTTGTTTATCTGTTTAGACTTTACTAGTGAACAACCAACGTTAACGCAGAGGGAAACACTGTGAAAACCATCATGTTTCGCTTTATGAGAGACACCGAGCCTCAAGACCCAGCCATGTTTATGATGTGAGTGCATATTTTGGTCTCTTGTAACTGGTTCTCATGGAATTATGGTTAATGTTAGAATCTGGCATATTCTTTCTACAGGGACCCCTTTGCTTTGCATCGGCAGCACATGAGACGCATGTTTTCTGGAAATTTTGGGATGTCCCCATTCCTAGGAATTACAGATGGGAGTGTTTCAGGCCTTCCCCGACCTGCACATCCCCGTAGCATACAGGTAGGCAGCAATATTCATATATGTTTAATACAAACCTATGTCCTGTAAATGTGCTGTCAGATTCCTCACATAAGATCCAGAGCGGGCATCATCTGAACCCCTAGTGACGATTTGCACTTGGATATAATAAATAGTTGTACTCTGGGTGATGCTGAAATACAGCTGTTGTGCGTATGTTAAAACTTTACTAGTGAATGGCCAATGTTAATGCAGAGGGAAAAACACAACGGTCAAACCCTTTCTTCATTAAATGCAGTTGAATGTCGGTATATTAGTCTAACCTATCCTGATAATGTTCCTTAACCCCCATCTACACTAGAAGTTAACACAGCAGAATTATCTGTTCTAATAATGTGAACTGTGTGAATATCCTATCTTGATCACTTTGTCATGATGTATCTGTTCTGTTTTTATGTCCTTTTGTGATTTTGATCGTTTTAGCCCGGTGCAGTGACGCCTTTTGGAATGATGGGAATGGTGAGTGTGCATTGTGTAGGCTTTGTATATGTATATATGTTGTCATTTGTCAGTGGGAAGCGGTTGAGTCCTCAGCCAGAATTTAGGCTAACATTGTAACTGGATGTTGATTTAATGTGTGTGGTGTTTACCGATTTAGTTTAGGATCAGGACTGAGTGCGCACACACTGGTATAGAGATTGCTTTCCTAGCTCTGAGTTAGTTTGAAATAGTCTGGTTGTACTCCCAGTATAGGGCTTATCAAGCCTAAGTTGGGTTAGGATCAGGACTTGGTGTAGGCACAATAGAGAGGTTGCTGCTGTGCCCTGTGTATTAGGGACAGTACTTTGGTTGAGCACACTGTATAGGGATTATTGCAGAACCCTGGGTTTAGAAATTTTGGCTAGGTGTGCATCCTGTAGAAGGCTTATGTCTGAACCCCGTGTCATGCCAGAACTGTAGCTGGGTGTGCACACTGTGTATTGACTGTTACTGTCCTGGAGTTGGATTAGGATATGAGCTGTGTTTACACACTGTGCAAGAATTTAATCCAAGCTCAGATTTTGGTTAGAATCAGAACTGGGCAGACAGTGCATGTTGTGATTTGAGTCTTGACTTGGTTTAGGGTTGGGACAAATTGCACATACAGCGAAAGCATTGGCTCGGATCCCTGGGCTATTGGTGTGCACACAGTATAGCCATTTGTTATCGAACCCTGAAAGGATGAATGAGATGCAGTGTGCATATTGTACAAATTCATGGTGTTAGTTTTGTAATTGTTTCATGTGAATCTATTTAGGGAGGAGGATTTATGGACATGTTCGGAATGATGAATGATCTCATGGGTGGAATGGTGAGTATGCCTTTTTTTATTTTATTTTTATCTGTTTTTCTTTTTATGTACTTTAAACTTTTTTTATTTTTTTTTTTATTTATTTTTTTAAATTGTAATATTTTCCACTTTTCTTTTTTTTCTTTCTTTTTTCTTGATTTCTTTCAACCATAACTGTCTGTCCCCTTCTCTCTAGCCTGGCTGCTCCTCTCCTTTTCCAGTAGGGCTGCAACAAATAATCGTCTCATATTGTATATGCTATTACAATTGTATAGGTTAGTTCACTGTGATGAATATTTGTCATATTTAACGCAGGGAAGAAAAGGACATGTGAGAAGCTTCTTTCATGATACATTCTTCTCATGTGCTACATGACTTGCAGGCCGTATAAGATGACCCAGGAGCCCGGGGGCAAGCTCATCGTTTTGCAGGCTATATATAAAGTGAAAAGCACAGTTTGAGGCACATTGGGAGAATTGTCAATGTAATCTATCTGCTTTGTAAGAAAGGCAAATAATGTTTGTGTGAATCAAGGAGGCAGGCTTAAAGGAAAATGTAGTTCCTGTATGGGACACCTATTTCAGAGCACTATATCTTCAGATTATTGCATTCCCCATGTGTATTAGCAGTAGAAAGAGGGAAGTGCTCATGCAATTGTACAGAACACTGGTGAGACCTTACTTGGAGTATTGTACGCAGTACTGGAGACAGTATCTCCAGAAGGATATTGATACTTTAGAGAGAGAGTGAGTTCAGAGAAGAGCTGCTAAACTGGTTCATGGATTGCAGGATAAAACTTACAAGGAAAGGAACTTAACATGTATAGCTTGGAGGAAAGACGAGACAGGGGGATATGATAGAAAAATTTTAAATACATAAAGGGAATCAACAACGTAAAGGAGGAGACTATATGTTTAAAAGACGAAAAACTACCACAACAAGAGGACATAGTCTTAAAGGACCACTATAGGCACCCAGACCACTTCAACTTAATGAAGTGGTCTGGGTGCCAGGTCCATCTAGGATTAACCCTTTCTGCTGTTAACATAGCAGTTTCAGAGAAACTGCTATGTTTACTTATGGGTTAATCCAGCCTCTAGTGGCTGTCTCAGTGACAGCCGGTAGAGGCGCTTCCCACTGTGATTTTCACAATGAGAAGACGCCAGCGTCCATAGGAAAGCATTGAGAATGCTTTCCTATGGACTGGCTGAATGCGTGCGCGGCTCTTGCTGCGCATTCAACCGATGACCGCGAAAAGGTGGAGGAGAGTTCCCTGCGCAGATGGGGCCCGGCAGGTGAAAACAGGTAAGATTTAACCCCTTCCACCTCCTAGAGCTCGGTGGGTGGGGGGGGGGACCTAGAGACCCTATACTGCCAGGAAAACGAGTATGTTTGTTTGTTTTTCCTGGCACTATAGTGGTCCTTTAAACTAGAGGGGCAAAGGTTTAAAAACATTTTATCAGGAAGTATTACTTTACTGAGAGGGTAGTGGATGCATGGAATAACCTTCCAGCTGAAGTGGAAGAGGTTAACACAGTAAGGGAGTTTACGCATGCATGGGATAGGCATAAGGCTATCCTAACTGTAAGATAAGGCCAGGGACTAATGAAAGTATTTAGAAAATTGAGCATACTAGATGGGCCGAATGGTTCTTATCTGCCGTCACATTCTATACGTTGGCTGGCAATTCCAGAGCGGTTTTATTCTATGTATGCCTAGGCATCATGTGGTCAACTTGCTAAAGACCTCACTGAACACCAGACAGATTCAGTTATCAGTAGTGAATTAAAAAAAATTAAAAATATCCACAATTCAGAGTAGGGTTTGAGGAGCCAATGTTTTTTATTAATGAACCAATTTTAATGAAATTACATACAATAAATGCTTAATGTATGGAGGTTTTGTTTGACTAGGTACGGAGGATGACATATTTTAAATGAGCTTCATTTGCTGCCTTGCGAAGTTGGGCTCTTTCAATTGCGTTCTTAATAACATTAGTTAATGTTTGAGGCTGTAGCACTCATTTTTGCCCAGATATTCTCCTTGAGCTGCTCAATTGTACGTGATATTTATTTTACATTTTTTGTTTTTCCCATGTACACCTGCTACTTCAGATATCACCACAGGAAGTAATCGGGAGCTGAAAGATCAGGCGACGTGGCAGCCAGTTCATTTGGGAATTTCTTGAAATTACCAGACCTTTCAGCTCCTCCAGTACTTCCTGTGGGGATATCTGAATGAGTAGGTGTACATTAACAAATGGCGTACACTTGAGCAGCTCAAGGAGAATATATGTGCAGAAATAGCCTCAAACATCAACTAATGTTATGAACAATGTTATTGAAAGAGCCCGAACTTGCAAGGTGGTAAATGGAGCTCATTTAAAAGATGTCATTTTCCATACTAGTCAAACAAATCTCTATACGTTAAGCATTTATTGTATGTAATTTCATTGAAATTTGTTCATTAATAAGTTGTCGGCTCCTCAAACTCCACTCTGAATTTTACTTTTATTTTTTATTTATTATATATATACAGCCCGTGGTATCTGACTACTTAAACATTCAATCTAGGCACCATATTCATGTTTAATAGTGCAAAGTGCCCCCTGGGGCTGCCCCACAATAAGTAGAAGTATTAGTAGTCGTTAAAAGGTTTGACACTTTCCTGGGAATCTGCGCGCCTCCTGGAATGGTGCCCGTGGCCACTTGGTTACATAAACACTACGTGCTATTGTGATACAAGAGTTTAAGCAATCTTTTTTCAAGTATTCAAAGCTTGCATGCATCTTCACTATCTGGCCATTTGTAAACCTGTTTTTGTGTGTGTTCTTTTGTTTTTTAATTTTATCTTATCTTTGCATATCACAGGAGCAGATCTCTTCAGGGTCAAACTGTCAAACATTCTCCTCATCCACGGTTATATCCTATTCCAATATGGGCGGGAGCACCACTCCAAAGGTGTATCAGGAGACCTCACAGACACGCTTAGCACCGGGTGGAGTAAGTAAAATCTGTAGGAAGGACTGGTACAAATACATCTGTCATGGAGGTTTCCTCCTCCCCGACACTAAACACCACAAATAAGGGCTGTTGTCATTGGGGGGAGGGGGGCTGGTGCTTGTTCTGACTTAGAGCTGGATGAACTCAGGGGATCACCTGAACACATTTTCGCACCGAGTGCCTGACAGGGAGATACCCTCAATCACTTTGGAACTTTTCATCGAATTGGAACTGTACTACAATCCAGTGAATCTTTGATTGGGTGTCGCTCTGTCCCCAGACCACCAACCACAGTGCTATTTGGTTGAGGATATCGGGGAGGTGAGGAGGCATCATAGGATACCCAGGACTTGCAGGTGCTCTTCTCCCCAGAACTCCAGGAACTTGTTTAACGAGGCCAAGACCACCTTGCTGTATCTGAGAACAGCAGTGAAATTTCAACACGCTGCCACTTGAGTGGATTTTCTGATTTTTACTCTTTGGGGAGAAACTCAGGCCAGTGATAAGGCATCTGTGGATACACAGGAGTTGGGCTACTTTAACTCTGACTGGGAGAAACAGCAAAATTTTATGGAAATTTGTGCTGGTTCGAAGGATTTCCATGACCTAGTGAAACTTTAAAGTACTCTTGCTTGGCTTGGTATCTCAGATCCGGGAGCTTTTTGAAAAAGATGGTAGCTCAGGAGGTGAGCTAGCTAGAGATGTCTGTGTTGTGGGTATACTATGTTGGAAAGGGAAACTTAGGGGGCTTAGATTTCCTGGTACCCCTGTCGGCGGGGGGGGGGGAAGGGGGTTCTATACGCATTGGCTATGTATAAATGTGTCAGTTGGTTGAATAAAGTACACTCTGTTTTCACCCTTCATCAAGTCTCGGCTGATGTTTAGGTGAGCTGCTTTAATTACTGAAAGTATACTGCTGAAAAAGAATTGATGGAGATACTCAGACTGAGTATCAAGCTCAGTCAAATCAATGGTAGCAGAGGGATAGACTCCCTAAAAACAGGATACAAAGCGTTTCAAGCTGGCTCTCCTCGGTGGACGAAACTGCATTTCCACGGCCTAAAGAGGAGAACCTCAAAAGACTTAATGAGGCTAGAGGAAAGCATGCTCGCAACAATTTTAAGACCTCCCTTGTGGCTGAGCTGATGGAGAGTGACCGAACCAGCACCTCATCGTCTGGAGGATCCAAGGAGTCTGACCTTCAGAGAGAGGTATGAGTGTGGTTGGCTATGTTGGGTCCAAATCCAGATGTGCTACAGCCTGAGTGGGAGCACAGGATATGCATGGATGAAATACAGCACCATGTTGGGGATGCTGTTACTTCACAAGAATCAGCGACTGGACGAAGGAAAACATTGCCTTACATAGCCTTCAGAATTTTGAGACCGTGTAATCTGTAAAGTGTAGATCCCGCTGACTGGGTCTCAATTGTGATCCGCAAATTAACAGGGAGGGCTGCAGATGCAGCGCTAACTATGAAAAGGTAAAAGAACCAATACTGGCTCAGTATGCTGATTATCCTGAGACTTACCGGTGATGATTCTGAGGACTTTGTAAGACTATAGAGCCATCAAACCTAATGGAGCTCACATTAGAACTTTACAACTTTGCGAACCCCGAGGAGCACAACTGGGTATAGGACCGATGACCCACTGTTGTGGAAGATGAATATCAGGACGGTCGAAAATTGTAAAGAACGACATCCAGACCTGTATACTGACCAGGCATAATATATTCCCCATCCAAGGCGTGATCCGACCAATCCCACTGTCAACTTGACAGCCCCAGCACCTACACGGAGAAATGGAGAATGCTGTTTTAAGTGCAACCAAATTGGACACATCCAAGAGAAGATAAACTTTGAGCAGGAACAGTGGACCACCATACATGAAAGCGATTCAGTTAAAAGAACAACAAGGGACAACCAGCACCACAGGCAGACTGCTATCCTCAATGGTCAAGCAGTTAACAGGCTGGGAAACACCAGAGCTATGCTCACCCTGTTCCAGCATAATTTGGTCCCCAACCAAGTTAAAGTGAGTACTCCATGGCAGTGAGAGTGTCAGGACCATCTGATGTTTGCCCACATACTCCAGGACGGGGGAACATATGCCCTCAACCTGGAGGTGGGCATCAAGGATTTACCTGCAGAGGTTTTGCTGGGAAATCACCTCCAGCTTCACACCGACCTCTGCCGAGACAGTTTACCACTAGGCTCCAGACCAGAACAGCCACCCCCTCACACTCTGTGAAACGCCAGGTCTTACAAAATACTCCTGCCCCAACTGACATTCCCTCACTGACCTGGGACATGCCAGCAAAGTTTGAAAAAGACCATCTGGGAGGATCGAACTCTAGACAGGTTTTGGACTAAGGCCATGACTGATCACAGAGTGCTGAAAGGTGTAAAGCTAGCGGTAGGCAACTGCCAAATAGGGTGACTGAGGGATCAGTGGGAGTCTATGCTACCCGAAATCCAGAGGCTGTAGCACATTCCAATATTCAGACAATGGTCGATGCCCTAGTGAAGATTTTCTAACAAGTAGGTTTCTGACCAGGGTACCCAAATCATGGTCGATCTTACCCCACAGCTCTGGAAGCTGTGTGGGGCAAAACCTCTAAGTTCCCCCTACTACTTGCAGACCAACAGCCTATGCGAATGCTTCAACGACACACCTCAGATGCTTTGCTCCTTTGCCTCTACCAGTAGGTATTGGGAACAATTCCTGCTGCATCTCCTCTTCACATATTTAGATGTACAACGGGATTCTCTCCATTTGATTTGCTACATTGAATTGAGGGGACCCACAAATTTCATACAGGAACACTGGGAGGGAGAGAGCAGTGATGAGAGGACCTCGATTGCCCCATGCTTTTTGTAGCTGCAGGACTGATTTGAGTCCCTGACCGAGACGGGAAAATCTTCATTTTGCTCCAAACCACCAGAGGGCAAGGTATGATCTGGGTGCTAGGGGCTGCACTTTCCAAATGGGCCAGAAGGTATTTGTATTGAAACCAAACAGGACAAATTACAGGCAGCCTGAAAAGGACCATATTGGGTGGTGGGACAAATGACACCACCTATGTGGTCTCATTGTGTATGGATGAGAGGATCTGCAAGATTTTCCACATGAACATTATGAAGGAATAGCTAGATGGAGAAGAGGCGGTGGTGGTTTGCGTTCCCGTAGTAGAGAGAGCACAGTGACCTCCTCTCCCTACCTGACCTACTTAGGGAAAATAGTCCAGATTGATAAAGACCATGAAGCTAGGGGAAGAGTTAAGTCCCAAACAAAGGGGGCAAATCCTTAAGCAATTGAAGCATTGCATAAACTGGGTTCAGTACATAGGCAAGCACCCCTAAGGCAACCCGCCTACCGGATCCCCGAGGTAGTGTGCGAGAAGAAATTAAAGGTGATCAAGCCCTCCAGTAACCTTATCCATCCGAAGTAGTATTTGTTCCTAAGCTAGATTGGTCCATACGGTTCTGTGTAGATAACCATCTCTTAAATGACATGACTGACACCCACCCTATGCCCTAGGTGGATGAGCTGTTAGTATTGCCAGAAGGAATTACTTGAATACAATCAACTTGTGTAAGTGCTTTTGGAAAATCCCCCTGGACCCAGAAGCCATTTTGAAGTTTGCCTTCATAACCCAGTTTGCCTTGTAGCAATTTCAAGTCATTAATCAGGATGATGAATGCCACCAATACTTTTCAGCAGATGGTTGATCGACTTCTCTGGGCTGCAGGACTATGCCTCTGCCTACTTAGATGACATCTGCAGCTCAACATGGGAGGAGCACTTCCCACATAGGGGACTGTATTGGACACCATTAGGAAGACGGGGGGGGGGTGGGGAGGATTGAGAAATGACATGAACCAGCAAAAGTTGACGCTGTAATTAATTGGCCACATGCCCACACAGAGACCCAGCTCCTGCCCTGAGAAGTCTGCTATGCAGCCATTAAAACGTAATTCCTCAACTGCAGATTTACCTGTATGGACATATTTTACCATACTAATATATCACCCGTTGTTCTGGTTAAATGGCGTAGCCGAAGGCCATGCCAGACTACTATAGTGGAGCCTGGCTTTCCTACCTTATAACTTGTACTATTTAGTACCAACCAGGGAAACCAGATCGGAAAATTGACAGAAGTCAAGGCCTACTAGTTGTTCCAAGCTGCCCTGTTTGGATCTGGCTGTGTTTGCTGGTAAGGGTTATTGTCACTGTGGGGAGGTGGTGGGGGACTGGTGCTTGTTCTGCCTTCGAGCTGGATAAGCTCAGGTGATCGCCTGAACCCATTCTCACAAAGTGCGTGACTGGGAGATACCCTCAATCACTGTAACTGTTCACTGGTTCGGAACTGTAACACAATCTGGTGAATCACTGATTGGGTGTCTCCAGGTTCCCTGTCCACCAACCACAGCGCTATTTGGAGAGGATGTAGGGGAGGTGAGGAGGCATCAGAGGATACCCAGGATTTGAGGGCGCTTATCTCCCCAGAGCTTCAGGAATCTATTTTGAGACTGGGACCAACCAGCCGCATGCCCTGAACGTCACCCTGGATCGGAGAATAGCTGCAATCGGGTGAAATCTACGACAGGAAACCTGTTTCCCCCCTGGTCGGTGAGGAATATCACGGCATCTAAAACCACGCATAACCATCTGGGACTGAGCTGTGCCAAGCTAACCCTAGGGGCCTAGTCTTCACCTCCAAGATGGCGGCGGTAGAGACCTACTCCATGAGGCTTGAGACCTCGACAGGACATTCTAGCTGCTTTCGACTGCATCTGCAATGCATTCTGGGACCGGCTGCGGCATTGCGGATCCCCTAGTTTGACACAGGCACCTGCTAATAAGGCCACTGGGACTTGTGAATCCCCAACACTCCATCAGCATAAGCCCCCGAACCCTCCCAGGAGATGGAGTCAGGGAGGAAAAACCCCAACCCGCTCAACGCATCTGTGTTCGCAGGAGCGGATAGTCCACATACATGTCATGACATTGTAAGCCTTGAATTGCCTGTCTTTGCTGTTGTGGCATTGCAGGCTGGTTTGTAAAATCTTTAGCACAGCAAAAATAAAGAATTCTAAAAATAAAAAAATTATGTCCTTGTATGTTGTTTTTTGCAAGTATTTATCCAATTGCTGTTTAAACATCTGTATGGACTCTGATAAAACCACATCTTCTGGCAGAGAATTCCACATCCTTAAAGAATTCCACAACCTTTTCTTTGTCTAAAGCTCCTTTCTTCTAGCCTAAATGTGTGACGTTGTGTCCTATGTATAGCCCTGTTTATGAATAGATTTCCAGATAATGGTTTGTACTGGCCCCAATATATTTTGTATAATGTTTTGTCCCCTCTGGGGTGCAGTTTTTCCAAACTAAAGAGATTTACTTTTTTTAAGCTTTCTTCATAACTAAAGTGCTCCATTCCTTTTATCAATTTTGTAGTATTTATGAAATACTGAAAAGTGACAGAGGCACTTTAATGTCTCTGCTTGTAGTTTAATGTTCTAAAATACAATAATGTATTAATGGGTGACAGTGTTTTGAAAGAATGTTGCTTATTATAACTTTATATTTGTAAATACTCACCACCCTTGCTTCAAACAAATATGCCAATAAATGTGACTTTTCACCAACCACAAAGTAAACCTACACATTCTTCCTTTGATGTTGTGTAGTAGGAGTATATATTCTACAAGGTACTCAGTCTTGTACCATTGTACCACATATTTATTTAACCCCTTAAGGATACAGCTTCAGAAGCTGGACACAAGCAATTTTTGCTGTTTGTGTTCAAATGCAATTTGCATCTCTCTCATTTATTGTACCAACACATATTATATACAGTTGTTTTTTTTTTTTTTTAGACAACAAAAAGGGCTTTAATTTGATGTGACATATACATATATAAATTCTCATTTATTACCAAAATAATGTGGAAAAATTTTTGGCAATAATAATGTGTGCATAATATGTCCAGCTTAGGAAAAGTAATTCAAAATCAATTCATTTGTGTCTTCATTTACAAAGTGCATAATATGTGTAGGATTTCAGTTTATTTTGAAAGTTACAGGTCACAAACCACAGGGTCTAAAATAAAATTTCAATGTGAAACAATTTTAGAAGTTGGTATGTCTGTCTTCGAAGTTTAATACCCATTACAGGAAACAAAATTGCCACACAAAATTATATATTTATATAAAGTAGACATCACAGGCTATTTACCTAAGGTTAGTTTGACACTTTTTGCGTAGCCATTTCACCGCCAATCTCTGCTAAATATTGGAGTAAAATTTTATTTTTTCTCTATTTTGGAATATACACATATTACAGGGTTTTTGTAATGTGTATTTTGTAAACCTAGTGTGTGTGCTATCCCTGTACAGAACCCCATATTGTGTTCAGCTACATCTGCTGAGTAAAACGATACCCCCATTGTATACCTTTGCCCCTATTCTGTAAAGCTACAATGCCATATAGGAGACCATGCTATTTCAGTTTCTATAGTTGGAATTTCCATAGATGGTCATGTTTGATTTTGTGGCATTATAGCCATTTGACTGTTCAAATAACCCCACAAAGGCCTACCATTTGAGAAAGCAGACACTCCAGGGTATGTTATTAGGCATATTATACCTTAACTTGCCACCATTTTTTCACAAATTTATTTCAAATTTTGTGGTGAGGAAAAAAAAAACTTTTATTTTTTTTATTTATTTTTTTTACATGTTGCATTTTCGCTGGGCCTTTCTTACATTTGATAAGTGCAACTGTCATAAATTCCCCCTAAGTATGCCCAGTTACCTCTTCTGAGTAAAACAATAAGCCCAATGTATGACCTAGACACTATTTTGTGAAGTTACAGTGCTATGAAAGAGACGTGACAAGTTCAGGTTTTTAAGTGTGAATTTACATGGAGAGTTTTAATGGGTCCATATTCTATTTTTAAATATGTTAGCAGGCTGCTTTTTCCAACTACCCCAAAAATGCATACTATTTCATAAAGAAGTTAGCTTGTACCAAATGTAGTGGTAATAAGCATTTTTTTTCTGCCTTTTTGACACACAGTGAGTTTGTACTGTATATTTTGCAAACCTTATGTGTGCTACGGCTTTATAATACTTTATATGTTGCTCAGCTATGTTGTCTGAGTACAGCAATACCCCCGTATGTACCTTTGCCAGGTATATGTGGACGTTGAAAGGGCACATTTCAGACACAGCCATTGCAGGTTTTTTCATACTATTAATTTTTACGCTGTGTTCATACCCCACTCTGGAGGTTTTTTTGTAGGTTAAATATTCCAGCTACCCCATAAAGGCATACCATTTCTTAAAGAAGACACCCTAGGGTATTTCAAAAGATGTGTTTTGAACCTTAGCATGAAATAATTTTTTCGCTAGCTTATACCAAGTGTAGTGGTAATAAGCATTTTTTTATGACTTTTTGACATACTCAATGAGTTTGTAATATATATTTTGCAAACCTTATATGTGCTACAGCAGTATAATACATCATATGTTGCTCCGCTATGTCATCGGAGTACAGCAATTCCCCCGTATGTACCTTTACCAGGTATATGACAACGTTGAAGGGGCACACTTGAGACACAGCCATTTAAGTTAGAATTTTTACTCTGGGTCCATGCCCCACTTTGGAATTATTTTAACAGATTGTGTTTTCCAATTACTTCACAAAGGCATACCCTTTCCTAAAGAAGACACTCCAGGGTGTTTCAAAAGGCATATTTGAAACCTTAGCGTGGTATAATTTTTTTTTCGCTAGCCTGTACCAAGTTTAGCGGTAATACGCATTTTCCTCCTTTTGAAAATTTTTTTTTTAACTTTTCAAACGTTTTTTTTTTCACTTTTAATTTTTATTTTAACTTTTAACCCTTAACTAGCCTAACCGTAAATCCCCCAATTTCCCCACTAACTTCTACCCACCCTAGCTAAATAAATAAATATTTTAAAATATTTAAATGAATTAATTAAATACATTTAACCTCTGAGGATTAAAAAAATATATATAAATTAACCCTCAGGTGAAATAATGTGATCTGTATTTTGATCACTGCTGGCAGTGATCAAAGGGCAGGGAAGGCGTTAGATTTTATTTATAAGAGGTGAGGGGGAGGTGGGATTTTGTAACTAACTTTTTTTTTTTTTTTTGTGCAGGGAGAGACAAATCAGCACCTGTTGACAGCTCACACAGAGCTGCAGGGAAACAGATCGGGTTTCACTGCAGCATGTGTGATCGCTCTGACTCCCGGTCAGAGCGATCACATGGGATGAATCAGTGAAACTGCCCATGGTAGTGTGCCTCCGATATGGAGACACACTACAGGAAGATTAACCCCACGATTATGGCAATCAGGGGTAAATTTCCGTCCAGCGTCCTTAAGGGGTTAAGAAACAAATGGTTGTTTTTGTTGCATTTGTGAAGAACCCCCATGTTTTGCTTGTTTTCCTAGATTCGTGAGACGCGACGCACGGTAAGAGACTCGGACAGTGGTGTGGAGCAGATGAGCATCGGACACCATATACGTGAGAGAGCTCACATTATGCAACGCTCCCACAACCGCCGCACAGGCGACAGAGAAGAAATGCAGGAATATATCAACATGGACGAAAGTATGAGTTCTTCACTACTGCTTCTCTTGTCCCAACTGCCTTTTATTTCTCTCTTCCTTGTCAGACTCCTGTGCATGTGTGCTTCATTGCCTTTCAGTTTTCATCTGTGTTTCCCTTATATGGCTCTTTTGTCTGTGCTAGTGATGCCAGCAGCCAACACCAAGTCACCCACCAATATCATTGCTTTCTAGATGAAGCTGCTGGGTTTGATGAAGAGTGGCAAAGAGAGACCTCCCGCTACAGAGGTCAAAGGGGAGTAACATACAGGAGACGAGGGGCACAAGAAGAGCGCCTTGCCATTCAAGCACCGGAAGACAGCACAGGCAGGCCATCTCGCCGCTACGACTGGTGAATGGGTGAGTGAAAAGAACCGTGAGGCATAGGCCCGTTTAATTTCCTTTCACCGTCTGCTTTTAATGTTTCTATTTTCCCTTCCAACATAACGATTTAAAGTTGTGGATTTGGTAACCTTTTGTCAAGGACTTGATATCTTGATCTATAAATGTTAATTTTATGTGTTGAACCTGTGCTCACAAATAAACAGTAAGGGGTAGTTTTTATTAAACAGAAAACTTGTTACAACTTAATGGGGACATTACAAGGTCATCTTATTGATGGGATACAATACTTACTCGAGAGTAATTTCACAAGGTATTTAGATACTGTTGTGATATCCATTTTCCATAATAAGAAACATTTACACTGTTTCCTGCAGATGCATCTATAGGCAGACACCCCCATCAAACACACCTGCAAGAGACACTGCAATCTTGTTGCTGCCCTAAAGCAGCACGGTCACCGTCTGGGGACATTGTGAATTTGGCAAAGACCCCATGACTGTAAAGAGACGTTGCCACTTTAATTGTGCCATTTGAATTTCAGTTCACTACAATTCAGAGTCTACTGAATAACACCCATAACCTCCAGAAGTCCACATTAGAATGGCAGAAGTGCAGTTGTCTGGGGATAGGCCATGTGAAACATATTGTATAGTCTCATTCAGCATTGTCTCCATGGACCCTTTGACTAAAATCCCAATCTTTACTATATTGCAAGTGAATTGATTTATAGGTTGTGGTTTTGTTTTTGTTTTTTGTTTTTTTGCTCTAAACAAAACTGACACTTCTTTGCCATAAATTAATCAGGGTCTCCTCCTTGACATTATCACTACGTTGTCAAAGGAAGGCACAGCCTTTAGTTCTGCCAGTGTTTTTGTCAGTTGTAAAAAGACAGCGCTAGTATATAACAGTCTACAGCGTGGCTTTTACAGCCAGTCCATCAAGGTTAATAAATAAACTTACGACAGTAGTCAATAGCCTTCCAGCTGAAGTGGTAGAGGTTAACACCGTGAAGGAGTTTAAGCATGCGTGGGATAGGCAAAAGGCTATCCGAACTATAAGCTAAGGCCAGGGACTAATGAAAGTATTTAGAAAATTGGGCAGACTAGATGGGCCGAATGGTTCTTATCTGCCGTCACATTCAGTGTTTCTAATTGAAATCCAAGCAGCAAAATTCAGTCTCCAGTAGGCAGTTTATAACCAAGATGTATACTTTTTTTTTTTTTTTAATATATATATTTTTCCCTTTACCCATGTCGGGTATTTTTGCTTAAACTTTGCAATTTGGGCTTCAGTTTACTGCCCATCAGAGCTTCGTGAATAACAATGTATGTGTCTCGGCAAAGCTGTCATAATTGCCAAGACCTGAGCTAAATGAAGTTGGCTTTCGGGTGCTGGGAAATATTTACACATCTTGACAAAACTATAGACTTTACCATTCTTTAGTTGTTCATTCTTTCCTTCAGTTCAGATGTCTTTCTCTTAACCTTTTCACAGGTACTTTGTTGCATACTTATTTTGTGCTTCTGACTTTATTCAGTTTTTTTTTTTTTAAACTTATTTTTTATTTTATTTTTTCAGTTTCTCATCATTTGGATCCAGGAAATGGAACAAGAAAACTCTGAACATTCTGAATATTCCCAGTGGGACCACACCATCATCTCCCTGACCACCCTTATAATGTCCTGTCATTTCCCTGAAACCCTCCTCTACGTCACCTCCTCTGTCATCCCACCAGCCCCCTAAATTTCTCATGTTGAAATATTTCCCTATTATTATTATTATTATTATTATTGTTATTATTATTATTATTATTATGCCAACCATGAACTCAAGAATGAGTTTCTGCCGATATGTGGGGTGGAATGGAAATTAGTGGGGAGGGGGGCAGGGTTAGTTAAGGTTAGGTTGGGGTTATGCAATGCTCTTCCCACAAGGTGGACATAGTTTGAAAATTCTAGTGTGATGGGTGGGGGAGCTGTTGATGGGAGATGTTCTGTACAGAGGAATTGTGATAGAAGCTCTTTGGAAATTTCTTACTGGACAGATATTTATTAGGAAGGGACCAGTGCTGTTGCTCTCTCCAGACTGGCGAGTGCTCTGAATTTGGGATAAATATCTTGTTACTTAGGTGGGCATTGGGATTAGACACTGCAGGTGGTAGAGATATGGATGAAGCTATGCTCTATCTTGTAGGGATTTGTAGTATAACAGGTTTTTGTTTCACAAGGTTTAATAATTGTAAAATTAAATTAATAAAAGGAGAAGGTGCTCATCTTGTTTGCTCATGCATTCAATTTTTGATACAGTACAAATAACCAGAATCACTACTTGTCTGATATGTCCTAATTCCATGTGTACATCTGCTGGTTCAAGTCTTCTGGGACCAGTGACCAAACACGTGGAGCAACTTATAACTTCGCAAGGCACGATATACTGGATGACATGAGAATTAAAATCTTATTTTTATTTTTTTGTATTTAGTCATTGCAGAACTAAAAATTAAAAGAAAGTTGAGTGACCGAGCCTTTACAATTTAAATTATCCAAAGATATTCTGTTTGTTTTTGTTTGACAGTGAAAATCTTATGATACTGTAAGCAACATAAGCACTACAGCGAGTAGTTGTGATTGTGTTGCTTAGTGTCCTAGCACCATGCTTTAATGTCAAACAGTTTGGGAGTGATTTGACAAAAACTAGAATTCTCCCGAGCACTCAGAACTGGTATCACTTCCATTATTAATATCCAAAATGTGTGGCTGTTATTGGCGCAGTGTGCTGGGGGCCAGTTTAGCACTCCTAATCAATCGTTGCCCTCTAGGTTGGATGAAAATGACATTGATAATATGTGAGAAATCTACAATATCAATTAATCTATGGAGGAAGTGGTCTCTGGGCATGAGAGAAACTCTAGTTACTGTCAAACTGCTTCTAAGAGGTTCAACTTTAAACGACCACTGTAGGCACCCAGACCACTTCAGCTTAATGAAGTGGTCTGGGTGCCAGGTCAAGCTAGGTTTAACCCTTTTTTCTATAAACATAGCAGAGAAACTGCTATGTTTGTAAATGGGTTAATCCAGCCTCTAGTGGCTGTCTCATTGACAGCCGCTAGAGGTGCTTCCGCGCTTCTCACTGTGATTTTTCACAGTGCGAAGACGCCAGCGTCCATAGGAAAGCATTGTGAATGCTTTCCTATGGACTGGCTGAATGCGTGGCTCTTGCTGCGCATGCGCATTCAGCCGGGGAGAGGAGGAGGAGAGTTCCCCGCCTGGCGCTGGAGAAAGAGGTAAGTTTAACCCCTTCTACCCCCCTAGAGCCCGGCGGGAGGGGGACCCTGAGGGTGGGGGCACCCTCAGGGCACTATAGTGCCAGGAAAAAGTGTTTTCATGGCACTATAGTGGTCCTTTAAAGCAGGTGATAGTACCAGGATGCTCCAGGAACTGTAGTTGTGAGGCTTCCTAGTCCCTAAAGACTTTATCGTACATTGGAATTGCCTGTTTGTCCCATTGTTAGCTGTACAAAGAGCATTACTTTCCTCATGTTCACCAGCTGCCAACAACGCTCCACAAATGTGAGCGGCATCCAGGACTAAAGTCTTTATTTAAGTGATATGCTTTGGTGATCTGGGGCTGACTTAAAGTAATGTTCATGTATTTCCTTTAAAAGAATTCACAATGTCCCCTGTGTTTATATTTATTTTTTGCACAGTAAAAGGTCGTGTTGCCTCAACCTGAAAATTGTTCTACACATCTAGACAGCCATGCATTATTAACAGAGTGGATTATTACAGTCTGTAGCCGGTTCCTCAAAGAAAATCTTTACGACAAACTGTCACTGGTCATAAAAAGATAAGACTTAAAGGGACACTATAGTTGTCAGAACCACTGCAGCTTAATGTAGAGGTTCTAGTAGTGTCTGAGTAAGATAAAAGGCAGTGTTTACATTGCTGCATAATAACCCCTCTAGTGGCAGTCAGTCACATGGCCACTAGAGGTGTTTCTTACTTTAGAGATAAACAATGTGCAGCAGCTACATTCAGCATGGAGATGAATTGATTCAATGCATCTCTAGGAGGCAATGCTGATTGGTGCAGTGCTGTGTTTTGCTGTGCAATAACCTCATAATGTTTTCCTATGGAAAAAGCTTGAGATTGGCCGAGGTCATCAAAATTGATGATCTTAGCCGTGGAGATACGGCCAGCTGCTGCAATGGAGAAAATGTATGTTTAAAAACCTTTTTATTGCAATCCGAGGGGGCCGGAAACCAAATTGCTAGTCCAACACTATATTGTTAGGAATACAAACATGTATTTATATCACTATACTATTGCTTTATTACTGCCATTCTGGTCAACAGCAAAATATTTTTGTTTCAAACCATTATCGGTCACCTTACCATGTATTTCTAAATATTAACAACAAGAAAATGCATAGGCAATTCAAAGCAATCCCTAATGCCTTCTATCCCACTATATCACTCTGTGCATGATCTATACCCCAAAATGCACCATAACCACTTAAGTGATTTACAAAAAAGATAGTAAAGTTAGAGATAGAAACTCAAACCTATACTAACGGTAGGAGTGGAGCGCTATACTATAATAAAAAAAGGGGTATACATTTACCCCAAATATATTAGGAACTCCAATGTTGAACAGACCTATAAAGAGAAATAAGGGGAAAGGACTATATATCCATGTCCATTTTGCTTGGGGCCCCCAAATTCCTTCAAACGGCCCTGAGGGTTATTCACAAAAGTGAGAATTCCAAGTGAATTTCAAATTCAAGGTAAACCTAGATGGACTGGAAACATTCCATAAATCTGATAAGCTTGAAGCTCAGTTACTTTGGCATTAAATGTAACATTCACTTGGAATTCTTACTTTAGTGAATACCTCTATATATGTATTTCATAGAGAGATTTTATCTTTATAAAGTCACAAAAAAAGTAAACTCGAGATGGTGAAAGAGCCACGTAATGTGGAAACCCATAGCTTTTTTTTTTTTTTAAATATTTTTATTATTTCACAAAGTCACATAGCATTACTGAAATGTTTTCTGTGGACCTAACTTTAAATCAAAGTCTTTGTCACTCTCCTGGAGTGCCCAGATCCATTTTTCTTCATTATTTTTCCGTCTTTTGAATCGGGCAGTCAACATAGAGGAAGCATACAAAGAAGAGGAGACATGAAACAATGTTTTTTATTTCTCGTCAGTATTTGCAATGCTTGCCCTGGATTTGCCTCGCTTGAACTGGGTTGTGAAGTCATTTGTTAAATGGTTAACATGAATATTAAAGAAAATGGAATGGACTATCACATAAATCACAGTTAAAGAATATATAGCGAAGGTTCTAATATAATATCAATTTTCAGCAAATCCATTATTAGAACTGAGTTAGACACAAGTGGTATTGATTAGGAAGAAGGGAGGAAAATGAAGTTTACTCAATAAAAAGGTAACTGCGGAGAATTGACAAGGGAATTTAAAATTTTTAGTTCATAACTAGCGAGCTGGAAACACAGTTGGAGAATGTTTCTATTCCATTTCATTTGACTATTTTGCCCTAAAACACAGAATTCCCTGGTCAATTCTCTTGTCACATGCTCCTCAATCCCAATCGATTGAGAAGCATGTTTTCAGGCATTGAAGCTCTTTATTTTGCTATTTTGCAGAAAAATATTAAAGGCTCCCAGGATTCTCTGATTAGGTTCAGATTAAACATTTTATGCATGGATAGGATTGTGACATATGGCCTCACCATTGATATTTATACTCATAACTGCTGTTACATGTTCTATGTTGGGAAGGTGATGTGGAGGAGACGTGTCTATGGAGGATTGGACTGTCACTAAATAGAGAAAATTTATGACAAACTTACCGTTATCTTCCTTTCCTGGCTATTTCTCATGGCAGCATCACTTATGGGTAGCTCCTCCCTTAGCAGTCACAGGACAGTAATTAATTAGATTAATTAATTAGACTGATAGGTATAAAGAGTCCCTCCTCCCCGTACACCACAGTCCAATTATAAAGCTAAAAAAAATAAAGAATGGGGGACAACCCTGATGCTGCCATGAGAAATAGCCAGGAAAGGAAAATTACGGTAAGTTTGTCATAAATTTTCTCTATTCCTGGCTAATCATGGCAGCATCACTTATGGGTAAAACCCAAGCTCAAAGAAATATAGAGTGGGAATAAAGAAACCGAGAAAAAAACTCTATACAGACACTCATGCTGCAAAGAAATTTTATGTCAGTGGGATAAAGAAACCATAGACAGAACACTCTTCCCACAGGAGGTGGAAGAAGAGGCTACGTCCAGTTTGTAGTGTTTTATGAACGTCGTCTGGGAAGACCAGGTGGCTGCTCTGAAAATCTCATTGTATGGAACCTCTGCCCAATTAGCCCATGATGTCGACAATGCTCTGGTAGAATGTGTTCTTATATTTATTGGAGGAGACTGACCTTTAGAGACATACACTTTCCTGATTATTAGTGAACTCCAACCACCTTGGGAAGAAACTCAGGTTTTGGTCTCAGACAAACCTAATCCTGATAGATCTCTAGGCAGAAAGTCATGGTAGAAAAGGCTATAATCTCAGAAACTCTTCTTGCGGAAGTAATAGTTACCAAAGTTACCAAAAACAAAGTATTGTAAGTCAGAAGGTTAGTATCCAAATTTTCAAGGGGAACTAACAGATCATCAGTCAGGTAGTTGAGAACAAGAGGAAGGTCCCAAGGAGGGGTACTTGATCTGGAAGGAGGTCTCAACCTAAAGGCTGCCTTGAAGAAACTTGAGATCAAAGGATCCAAAGTCCATGAGATATTGCATAATGCTGAAAGAGCCAAGGACTAAACTCTAAGAGTGCTGAGGCTAAGGCCTTTGTCTAGACCTTCCTGAATGAAATCCAGGATCTGAGTATTACAAGGTTGCAAGAAGTCAATGCTCTTGGTTGTTGCCCATTCTCTGAATATATTCCAGATTCTATGGTAGCATGAGGAAGTAGAACCCTCCCTAGACTGCAAAAGGGTATTAACCACTGCTTCAGAGAGGCCTAAGTGACGTAGTCTTTCCTTTTCAAGACCCATACCCCCAGCTTGAGGTGTTCTGGATGAGGGTGGGAGATTGGACCTTGACTCAGCAGAAGTTGTTCCTGACGCAACTTGATTAAGAGAGGAAACCATGGCCTCTTGGCCAGACTGGGATAATAGCAAACACTTTTTTTGCCTTCTATCCAAACCTTTTGCAGAAATCTGGGTATCATGGGTAAGGGAGGGAACACATACCCCAGATCGAATGACCAAGGAAGAGAAATAGCATCCTGGACCATCGCCCGATTGTCTGGATGGAGAGAGTAGAATTTCTCTACTGTCAGGAATACAAGTTGATCCAGCACGCAGTGTTGTGTCACACCTAGGACTAAGGATAACGTACAACCGGACCTTAGAATGGCCGGACTTAACGTCTCCAAGAATAGTCAAAATACATGCCAAGGTCAGGGACACAGAATCAGAAACAAAGATGAGGGAAAGCCACAGGTCAAGGATACCAGATATCAGGGAAGTCAAAACAAAGCCAAAGTCAAATACCAGAAAATCAAGATCAGGAACGCACTCTAACTAACTAACCATAGGCATGAAACCATGACAGGGCACTGAGCAAGAGGAGAACTGGGCCTAAATACCCCTCCTGTGGATCTGATTGTCTGTAACTGGCCTTTGACCTCAAAGGCAATTACCAGGTTTTCATTTGCATAAATGCTGCTGAGCACAAACCCTCCTGTGCTTGGCACAACTTTTCCTGCCAGGACAGTAAATGCCATTAACCACATTTTTATGTGCGGATGAATACGTGACATCTACCTGACAGTTCCCGGAAGTCACCATCAGGTCGATCTGGGGTATGCCCCACCGATGGACAATCCATGAGAAAACTGCCAGGTGAAGCCTCCATTCTCCTGGAAGAATTTTTGTTCTGCTGAAGAAGTCCGCAGTAACGTTCTCCAAACCAGGAAGATAGATTGCCTTTAGACCTCGAAGCCAGTTCATGGCCACTTCCATCAAGGGAGCCAGTTCCTTCAAGAGCAATTTGCTCATTGTTCCTCCCTGGTTATTCACATATGAGGCAATTGTAATTATGTTCCAAGAAGGAAACCTTCCGACAAAATTATTTTTGCCCTACCACCAGTTAATCCCTTTTTTTACCGGGAAAGGCAGAGTTATCCTCTGATCCCAATCTGCTTCTATTCTGTTGAATTGAAGAAGGAAGCAATGCTGAATAGCACGAGACTTCCATTGGGCCCATTTTACCAGCCCGATTGTTGATGCCAGAGAACCTAAGAGGCTCATGACTTGTCTCGCTAAGGCCTTTTTGAGACTTTGTATTTTCCTATTTTGTCTCGGATTTTCAGGGCCCTGTCCAAAGAGAGGAGCACATGGGCTGAGATCGTATCTATCACTGCTCCCAGGAAGACCATCTTTTGAGAAAGAATCAGGGAGCTCTTCTCTATGTTTAGAATGTTTAGAAGCTAGCCATGATCTCGAAGAATGTTCATCGTCACTAGAGTATGATGAGCCACTATCTGGTGAGATGGACCTATGATGAGGATATCATCCAAGTAATGTC